ATGTATGATAAGAGCACTTTTGGCTGCATGAATGTGGATTAATTTCTGGGATCTCTATTCTGCATCAGTTTTATGCCAATATCATGTCTTTTAGTTACTCCAACTTTGTAGTATGCCTTGAAATCAGATACTGTGATACATCCAGATGGATTTTTTTTTTCCTGCTAAGCATCAGTTTGGTTATCCTGGTTATTTTGTGATTCCATATAGATTTTAGGGTTTTTTTTCTAATTCTGAAAACAATGGTATTTTTTTTAAGATATATATTATTTATTTGAAAGAGTTACAGAGAGGTAGAGACAGAGAGGTCTTCCATCTGCTGCTTCACTCCCCAGATGGCCACAACAGCTGGAGCTGTGCCAGTCCGAAGCCAGGAGCTGCTTCTGGGTCTCCCACACGGGTGCAGGGGCCCAAGTACTTGAGTCATCTTCTACTGCTTTCTTGGGCCATAGCAGAGATGGATTGGAAGAGGAGCAGCCGGGACTAGAACTGGTGGCCATATGGGATGCTGGCACTTCAGGCCAGGGCTTTAACCCGCTGCACCAGAGCACTGTCCCCAGTATTGGTATTTTGATGGGGGTTGTATTGAATCTGTAGATTAGTTTTGACAGTGTAGACATTTTATAAGGATCCAAGTAGAAGTAGAAAGACTACTGTTTCTTAAGTGTAGTACAAACTCTATAACAATAATCAGATCTCCAGTTGTTGTATATGGGTGAAACCATTAATTTTTGTATTCTATGTATTAACTGTCACAGATCGGAGGAAAAACATACAAATTTGCCTTTTGGTGACTGGCTTATTTCACTAGTAATGGTTGCCAGTTGTATCCATTTTGTTGCATAAAACAAGGTTTCATTCTTTTTTATGGCTGAGCAGCATTCTATTACATATATTATGTATAACATCCTCTTATGTATACATATACATACATATATCTCACATTTTATTTTCTTTGTGCAGTATCAAATGATGGGAATCTGGATTGCTTCCATATGTTAGCTATTGTGAGTTGAGCTGCTACAACTGCAGGGGTACAGAAATTTTTATGTCCAAATTTCTTATCCTTTGTGTAACTTCCCATTATTGGAATTACTGGGCAATCTGGTTGTTCGGTTTTAAAAGTTGTGAGGAAGGTATGAACCCAGATTGCTCTTTTAGATAGGGATCTCACGTTCCTATACATTTCTCCCACTGAATAAAACTTAAAAATTAAAAAAAAATTGTGAGGAATCACTGTACTGTATTTCATAATGGTTGAGATAGATAACATTCCATCCACCAGTGTGTTGGGATATGTTTTTCTCCACATCCTCGCCAGCATTTGTTATGTTTGGTTGTGGGATGATGGCCACTTTGCCTGAGATGAGGTGAAACTACACAGTGGCTTTTATTTCCGTTTTCCTGATAGTTGGTGAGCCTAAGCAGCTTCCTGTATCTATTGGCTGTTTGTGCTTCATCCTTCAAAAAATGCCTGCTAATCCCTTAGCCTGTTTCTTAACTGGAATGCTTTATTTTTTTGTTGAGTTCCTGAGCTCATTACAATATTCTAGAATTCATCCTCTATCACAGGTATAGTGATATTTTCTCTGATTGTGCCGGTTGCTTCTCACTTGTTGAGTGAGTCATTGCTATGCTCATGAAGCTCCTTAGTTTGATGTAACCCCATTTGTCTATATTTGATTTTTATTTCCAGTGCTTCTGGAGTCTTATCTAAGAAGTCCTGTATGCCAATGCCTTGCCATGTATCTCCTATGTTTTCTGCTAGTGAATTTGCTGGTTCCAGGTGTTAGGTTTAGATCATGGATCCATGTGGTTGGTTTTGTATAGGATGTAAGGTATGGGTCTTGCTTCACACTTCCACATGCAGAGATCCAATTTTACCAACATCAGTTGTTGAAGAGCCTGTCCTTTTCCAGGGAGTGAGGATTTTATCTCATTTGCCAAAGATTAGTTGGCTGTGGATGCGTGGATTAATTTGTGGGGTTCTGATGTGTTATATTCCATCCACATGCCTATTGTTATGGCAGTAATGGGGTGTTTTGCTTGTAACCGCTCTGTAATATGTCTTGAAATCTGGTATTGTAATGCCTTAAGCTTTATTTTTACTTTTTAAGAATGCTTAGATTGCTTTAGCTGTTTTGGGGTCTCATGTTTTCCATAATAACTTTGGCTATATCCCATAGGGTTTCATATGTTGTGGTTTTGATTCTCGTAAATTTCAAGGAAGTTTTTCACTTCATTATTCATTTCTTCAGTGACCCATTGAGTATTTCAGAAGCATGTGTAATTTTCAGGTATTTACAAATTGCCATGTTCATGTTGCTGACTTCTACTTTTATTCCTTTGTGGTCTGAGAACATACATGGTATTGATTTCATTTATTTGAGAGGCAGAGTTATAGGCAGGGAGAGGGCAAAACAGAAAAGTCTTCCATCCACTGGTTCACTCCCCAAATGGCACAATAGCTGGAGCTGGGCTGATCCAAAGCCAGGAGCCAGGAGAGTCTTTTGAGTCTCCCACGTGGGTGCAGGGGCCCAAGGACTTGGCCATCCTCCACTGCTTTCCCAGGCCACAGCAGAGAGCTGTATCAGAAGAGGAGTGGTCTAGACTCAAACCGGTGCCCATATGGGATGTCTGCACCACAGGCAGAGACTTAGCAACTGTGCCACAGTGACCCCCCTATGGTATGATTTCAGTCTTCTAGAATTTACTGAGACTTGATTTCCATCCTAGAAAACGTTCTTCACTGATGACAAGAATGAGTATTCAGCAGCTGTTGAGTGAAATGTCCTCCAAATGTCTGTTCAGTCCATTGCTCAACACTGTGTTTCACTGGATCTTAGCCAAAGACCAAGAAGATATCAGTACCATGCTGTAACTCCAATCTATCTTTTTTAAAAAAAGATTTATTATTTGAAAGACAGAGTTATAGAGGTGTGTGTGTGGGGGGGGGTCTTCCATCCACTGGTTCACTCCCCAGATGGCCACAATGGCTGGAGCTGGATAGATCTGAAGCCAGGATGCCAGTAGCTTCTTCTGGGTCTCCCACGTGGGTGCAGGGGCCCAAGGACTTGGGCCATCTTCTACTGCTTTCCCAGGCCATAGCAGGGAGCTGGATTGGAACTGGAGCAACCAGGCTCGAACTGGTGCCCTTATGGGATGCTGGCACTTCAGGAAGCAGCTTTCCCCACTATTCCACAGCACCAGTCCCTGATGTGTCTTTATTGATTTTTTCACTGGTGATTTGTTACTTTTCTCTTAGAATCTTTAGACTTCTCTCCTTGTTCCTGTATTTTGAGAATGTGACTGTAATGTGCCTTGGATAAAATCCGTCCTCTGGATTGGGGTCCTTTGAACTTCTTGTATCTGGATGTTTGTCTCTTTTAAGAAACATGGGCACTTTTTGTTCTTTTCATATCCTAGGTAGCTGAAGTCGGAAGTCAGCATGGCTATACACTATCTGGCCATCTTGGATATCCTCCTATGTGGGGATAATTAAAATATCTATCACTTTATCGTTTCTTGGTGGTGATGTAGCCAGGCAGAAACCCATGGGATCTTGCCCAGTGCCTTTGCAATGGAAACACACCTGCTCGGATCCATGCTGCTTGGTTCTAATCAGAAGCAGGCAGCTGGAGCAGCAGTTCTTCCCATAAAAATCCTAGATGAATTCTGATTTATTTTGCCAAAAAAGGAAGAATAGATTAAAAAAAGAGAAATAAAAGACCATGAAGAAGACTGCAAGGAGACTGAATGAGAGGCAGCAGCTGGAGCGTGCATCCCTCACTCCGAGTCTCAGACTCACCTGAGCACCTCATGTGGTAGGGAAGGGCTGGGCCTGCTGCACCCTCCCTGCCCATGGAGAAGTCCTGCTTCCGTTCTTCCACCCTCGTCACTGATGCTTCATTTCTAGCATTCTTCAGCCATACTCAGTGTGGCTAACTCCAGTTGGCTTAGCCAGGCCCCCGTGGGAATGCGTTTGGTTGTTCTTATTTGGGGTTACTATGGATACGGCTGCTAGGAATATTCCTGTGCATGTGGTCTGTGCACCTGCCCTCAGGAGTCAGTCACGAATTGGTCACATGGTGACCCTGCTCAGAGACCAGTAACGTTGTACCAAGCAGCAGTTCCTGCTGTCCCTCTGATCCCCTTCGCTCTGATGGCTTCCATTCCCACTCACTGCACAGGACCCCTTCCCTCCCATTTCCCCTCCCCTCACTCTGCTCCCTGGCTCCAAATCCATGAGCCCTTCCTCATGGCCTCTTGGACCCAGTGAGTGACCTGGGTCAATGTCTAATACTGGCCCCTCCTAACTCTGCACCTGTGTGGGCCCTGTCGGGGAGGATGTTCATGATCAGTGTCAGGCCCCTGGAGCATCTCCTGCTGTGCTGGTGGAAGGTGGGTGGTCTTGTCACCTGTGTCACACCCAGGGCCTGATGCTCAGGCCTCTGCAGAGCCAGGCCCCTCCTTGTGCTGTATGGGGCAAGCCTGGGCTGAGCTGCCCTTTGTGAGCCAGTCCCCCTCAGGAGGGATGAGCAGAGGTTGCTTTGTTCTCCAGCACAGTGAGTTACAGAGCTTTACCCTAAATCAAGAACAGAGGCCTCAGCGTGCCCTGACGTGCACGGAGCTCTTGCCGTCCAATGCATGTTTGAACAGGGTGGTTGTGAGTACCCTGATTGGAGGAAGCCATTCAGAAATGCTCATGGATTCAGAGTGAGAGGGTCTGTCACTCAGGCAGTGATAGGTCAGGGAGTCGATCTCGTGCGTTCTGTGCAGTGAAGCTTCCCAAAGGGTGACTGTTCCACTGCTGCTTTTCCCATCCATTTGAACAATGCCAAACTCACCTGCCTACTCAACCTTGGGAGGGAGGGTGGGGTGTGTTTGTGTATTCAAAATTTGTTTGGGTAGCAGAGGGACAGACACAGAGGGCATCCATCCTTTCATCCTGTCCTCAGATGCCTGTGTGGACACAGTTTTCTCTGTTCATGTGTAGGAGGGCCCAGTGATAGCCCCCAGTATGAGTTGAACTGCTGACATAGTGCCATGCTTTGACTTGGACACCCTCTTCAAGGCTGTGGCCTCAATTCTTAGAATGGTGAGTGTGGGAATATCTGAGACCGTGTTTAATTTTGGAAAACGGCCAGACTGTTCACCAGAGTAGTGAGCTCTCATGCATCCACCAGCAATGAGTGAGAAATCCTGTTCTACATCCTTCACAGCAGTTGTGATGTTTAAAAAAGAAAGAGTTCATCTATCTTAAGAGATGTGTATTGTAAAACAGTGACCATTTTGACACCATCAGGAGTTTCCTCCTCAGGCCTGGGCAGGGAGGCATTCATTGCTCCTGTCTGCGGGGGCTCGGAAACGATGAGGCGAAGGCAAGGAAAAGGTGAGGGAAGGGGCAGAAGGCAGGAGACGGAGCCGCAGAAGGCAGGAGACGGAGCCGCTCCACCCTGCTGTGCTCTCCCCTCCCCACGTGACAGCGCAGGGGTCACAGCACGCTGCTGTGTGTGGCCTAGGTCTGTCTGCTGGAATTCCATGCACAGAGGAATGGGAATGAGAAGCATGGAGCCGCCTTCTTGGGGGTCCCAGAAAGTGAGGGTGAGCCCGAGGCAGGGCAGGATCCATAGTGCCGGCTCTCAGTGGCATTGTAGAGGCTTGTGCTTCTTATGGTGTTAAATATGGGAAAATTCATTGTCATAACTCTACACACCATTCAAAGTGTGAACATGGATCTGTGCAAAGAAGACTGTGGGCAGAATAGTCTACTTGAGCCAGAGGCTCACGCATGGTGTACAAAGCCAACAGGAACTTGAGCACCAGCCCTGTGCAGTGCTGTCCGTGTGCATCTCTGATCTTAAGCCGGGAAAGAACCTGCCTGCCAGGGCCCAGCCATCTCTGCCCCATTTCCTGGGTGGCTCCTTGGAGGTCCCTGGGGACTCCAACAATGGCTGCGGGATTTTGTGATCATCTGAGGTGGTTTTATTTTATTTTTTTAAGAATTATTTATTTTTATTTGAAAGTCAGTTACACAGAGAGAGGAGAAGCAGAGAGCAAGAGGTCTTCCAACCAGAGGTTCACTCCACAACTAGCTGCAATGGCTGGAGATGGAAGTGGTGTCTAAAGCAGGCTTTGTGCTCTCCCTACCTCTCGGCTGCCAACCCTGTGGCTTGGTCTCGCAGCTCCCATTTGGGATTGTCGAGAGGTGAACTTCATCTCGTCCATCCACCAAGCGCATGGTTCTTATGAAGGCATAGCTGGAGGCAGCCAGAGCAGGGACGGTGGTCGTTACTAAAGAGGAACAGGGCGCATCAACACTGATCCAGAGTACATTCATCCAGCCAGGGCAGATGAGGAAAAGAACTCGGGGAATTGTGGAAAGTAGCCCCAGGGCCTCTGAAATGCCATTCTCAAGCTCCCAGCTTGGAGAGCAGACTCTTAAATGGCAAAGCACAGCGGGGTTCACCTCATGCTTGGTTTGCTGGAGGTTCCTGGAGGTGGTTAGGATTAAGAGACTGAGGCAAGCCCCAGGCAGTGACGATGGGAAACTATCTTCCGTTCTTAAGGTTAAAAACTGATGGGCAGGCAATTCTCTCCAGTGTGATAGAGAAGGTGGCACTGCGAGAACATATGGAGGGATGTTTGGGGCTTGGGGGGAGGTTCTTTTTCACCTCCAGGGATTCAGATCTGTGTAATGGATGCTCACTGCCATGGACTGCTGCAGATTCAGCTGCTGCCTCCCTGTGGGTTGCAGACCTGTGGTGGTACCCTTACTGTTAGCACAGTCAGGGTGAGCCTTTGGCACAGCAGTTAAGCCACTGCTCGGGACGCATGTATCCCTTGGCAGAGTCCTGGGCTCCAGTCCTGGCTGTGTTCTGGTTGCTCATTTGCTGCTAATGCACATCCTGCTAGGCAGTAGTTGAGGGCGCACATAAGAGTCCCTGCCACCCATATGATGTTCCAAGCTCCTGGCTACAGCCTGGCCTCACCCTGGCTGCTTTTGGGATTTTGGGTATGAGCCAGCAGAAGAAAGCTCTCTCTCTCCATCCCTCAAACCTCCCTCATTTGCCTTTTCAATAATTTTGTCTTTCAGGGTAATGCAGTGGAGCCGGGTGCTGATTGTAGTCACAGAAGATGGTTATGTGTGGGTGCTGAGCTGCATATCAAAGAGCCCCATCACTTCACTTACACTTTGAAGCAAGTTAGTAGCTCTTATTTCTTAACATGTAGTGTTGTCAAGGTAGCTGGAGGGTTTCATCTCCAAGCCTATCAGATGCAGAAGCTCTTCAATGAAACCTACTCACTTGTTAGTCAGAGGATAAGCCTGGGAGCCACCTGCAGCTCCACCCACCTGCATGGCCCAGTCAGGTCGGTGACTCTGCAGAGGCCCCTGGAGTGGCCACTTTGATCATTGCCATCTGCAGGATACACACAACATGCTCCTTTCTTGGGCACACTGTCTGGGCAGGTTCTTGTGAAGTGACACAAAGAACCTTTCCCTCCAACACAGGATCTCAGGTGGAAGCCAGCAAAGGTGTTTGCTGCTGTGCACTCAATACAGACCTGGAAAGATACTTTGTCCCAGTCAACGACATTTACTTTTAGTTGCCTTGGTGCCAGAGAGATTTCGGCTGGCTGATAACTCATACTCATCACTTCAGAAACTGCAAAAGCTTCAAGTGGCTTTGCTGCACTAATCAGTTTTCTCCTAGCAATGTAAGTGATTATATTTTTTTCCATAGAAACCAGAGACACAAGAAGGCTGGGGACGAGAGGTACCTTACATGACACATTCACTATGGCTGCATGGCGCATTCCGTGCACACCATCTCCATCACTCTCCACAAGAAACGCAGGCCAAAGGCAGAAGGATGAGATACTTTGGCCTTGGCCACAAGGCTTGTAAAAAAGTGGCAGAGTAGGTACAATGAATCCCAGGTCTCTCAAAGCCTAGGATAACCCCGTTCCTTCTTGCTAATCTCCAGAAAGCTGGAACTGGACTGAAAAGGATTCCCCAAAACAGCCCCATGAAAGGAAACCTGGCCAGTGGCCACCGTGTAGGAGCTTTCAACCAGGTGCCTTGGGGTCTCCCACTATTCCTAGTGCCATCTAGGTGCCCTGAGACCTGAAATGCCCAGCTCTGCCGTTGGTGGTCAGGGGGACCTCACCTCCTTCCTAGCTCCAGCGCTGCCTATGGTGTCCACACAGTGGGCGGCTTTCAGGGTCAACAGGCAGATCTCCTGGATGGCAGTGTGGCTTTCAACAATCCGGTGAGCCACCACTTCCTGCCGGGGAGCAGAAGGTGGCACGAGAGGGAGGAGGTGAGCTGGTGTTGGAGGTCTGCGGGAAACAACACAGCCTCGAGGTCAGGTACAAACACTGTCGAGGTCAGGTCTTGCTCTATGCATTTTTAAATGGAGGAGCAAGTTTGCTTGATATGCACTAGCCCAGCCACGTACCTCTGGAATGCCCCAGAGGTGGAAGATTTCAGAAAGAAATTCTATTTTGCAAAATGCATTCTTTTGGGTATTTTAATGTTTAAAGTCAAGATGGTGGAATGAGTCACCTTCTGATTGCCAAACTACTCTTCTCCAGCCCTACTGAATGTGATCACAAGCTCTCACTGAAACATGGTTAAAGGGGTGGAGGTGGAACTGCTTGTAGACAAACTAGATCATTCTCAGAAGTCCAGGGTTGGCACTGCCCAGCAGCCTCTGGTTGCTGTTCTCAACTTTTTCTTGGGATTTTATAGACATATATGTTGGTGTAACCACACTCAGGAGAACAGTTCCATCTCCACACAAAACTTACCGGTACTGCTCTCTTGTAGGCACATGCTCCCCCAGCCCCTACACCCTTGTCAACCACTGGCAGGTTGTCCATTATGATACTTTTGACTTTTTCTAGAATGTCCTAGAAATGGGATCATACCGCATCTACTCTTTGGAGACTGGCTTCTTTCACTCAGCATAGGGCCTTGAGTTTTATCCAAATTTTGCTGGGAATTGACTGTAGATTCCTTTTACTGCCGACTCTAGTCCCTCATAGGGCTGCACCCCAGTATCCAAGCAGCTGTCAAACAGCTTTCCAAGGTGGCTTATTTACCATCTGATTATTTTCTTTGGTGCTGTGTCTTTTCATGCTTTTTGCTGATTTTCCTGCTCTTTGTTAATGCCCCTAGGAAGGCAGCAGGAGACCCAAATGGAGTTCCAGGCTCCTAGGTTCAGCATGGCCCAGACCCAGCTATTGTGGCCATTTGGGAATTGAACCAGCAAATGAAGATCTCTGTCTCTCCCTCTCTGTAACTCTGCCTTTCAAATAAGTATGTATATAAATAAATAACATTTTCAAATAAAAAAGATTGTTATTTCTCCAACTTCCTTCCTTCTAGCCTTAGAGGGGACAAAGGGAAGAATTAATAAAATGGCTGACTGGACAACTGAAAGTGCCCAATCTGAACTCAGAGGAAACCAAATGAGCGATGTGTCCTACCCTGTTCCCCAACAGGAGCTGTATATAGGTCTCTCCAGTCACCTTTCTTACCACATCCTCAGTGCCCCTCAACACCTGAACCCTTGCCCTAGACTACAGGGTACAGGGGTGCCCACAATGTAGTCCCAGGTGTGGTGTCAAAGCAGGATGTAGCTTTTCTTAATACTATTGCAAGTCAGTTATATAAAAGAACATATATGTTGATTGAGCTTATAACATTTGGCTAAAATAATAGCACTAACTATTGCTAACATTGAGTACAGAATAATACACAAGGAAGCAAATACAGCCTCTAACGAGGCAGAAAGGCCCTGCAGACTTTTCTAAGATGGTCACAGATGCACTTTCACACGGGTGATAATGTACAGAAATAAACAATTCTGTCACCAGAGATTTGACCTACACTGACATTTCAACAGTAAATGCTAAGAAATAATTACTTTTCTTGTTTTCTTAAAAATTAGAAGTAGGGGGACAGCGCTATGGTGTAGTGAGCTAAGCCTCTGCAGCGCCAGCATCCTTTATGGCACCAGTTTGTATCCTGGCTGCAACTCTTCTGATCCAGCTCTCTGCTGTGGCCTGGGAAAGCAGTAGAAGATGGCCCAGGTGCCTAGGCCCCTGTACCCACGTAGGAGACTGGGAGGAAGCTCCTGGCTTTGGATCAGCTCTGACCATTGCAGCCATTTGGGGAATGAAACAGCAGATGGAAGCCCTTTCTCTCAGTCTCTCCCTCTCTCTGCCTGTAACTCTGCCTCTCAAATAAAAAGCTTTATTAACATTAGAAGAAATTTTTGGGGGGATAATTAAGTAACCCCATTTCTCTATAAAATTTTTTTCCAAAGAAGTCTAAAATAATACCTTCTTTTCCCTCTGAATACACATTTCCATTTTTTAAAATGGTGTATTTATTGGATCTGGCACTTTGACATAGTGGGTTGAGCCAGCATCTGCAGTGCTGGCATCCCAAATGAGCATTGATTCGAGTCCTGGAGGCTCCATTTACAATCCAGCTTCGTGGTAATTTGCCTAGGAAAGCAGTAGAAGCTGGTCCGAGTGTTTGGGCCCCTTGCTCCCACTTGGGGACCCAGATGAAGCTCCTGCATCCTGGCTTTGGCTTAGTCAAGCCCTGTTTTTTTGGTCATTTGGGAAGTGAACCAGCAGATGGAAGAATCTCAATCTCTCTCTCTCTCTCTCTCTTTCTCCCTGTAATTCTTTCAAATAAATTAAATACTTCATTGTTTTTTAAAGATGTATTTTATATTCAAAAGATAGATTGGCAGGGAGATAGAGTGAGAAAGAGATCTTCCATCTGCTGGTCTACTCCACAAATGCCCACAACAGCCAGGGCTGGGCCAGGCCCAAGCTAGGAGCCAGGAACTCCATCTGGAAGGATTTGGGCCATCAGCCACTGCCTTCTCAGGCCTATTAGCAGGAAGCTGGATCAGAAGTGGAATAGTTGGGACTCAAACCAGCACCCCAATATGCGGCACTACTCACGTGGAACTAAATTTATGGTGCCTTGTAAACAAGCTCAAGAGTGTAAAATTTCTAGATGAAGATTCAAAGAATCATCACAGCCCTCTAAATGCTGGTCCTATGTCTTCGGTGACAAGGGACCCACTTCTTCCCAAAGCAGTCCATTCCGTCTTAAAAGAGCTGTTGAGCTGGCACCACGGCTCACTAGGCTAATCCTCCACCTGCGGTACTAGCACCCCGGTTCTAGTCCCGGTTGGGGCACCAGGTTCTGTCCCAATTGCTCCTCTTCCAGTCCAGCTCTCTGCTGTGGCCCGGGAGTGCAGTGGAGGATGGCCCAAGTGCTTGGGCCCTGCACCCACATGGGAGACCAGGAGGAGGCACCTGGCTTCAGATCGGTGCAGTGCGCTGGCCTCAGTGCGCCAGCCGTAGCGGCCATTTTAGGGGTGAACCAACAGAAAAGGAAGACCTTTCTCTCTGTCTCTAACTCTGCCTGTCCAAAAAAAAAAAAAAAAAAAAAAAATTGTAGGAATATTCCTCTGAGTTTTGAACTCTTCTCCTGTGTCTTTACATGGCTGTGTCCTAACTTCTTCCAGAAAACCAAAGGACATGACAAGTCCCCCTACCCATGACAGCCTCTTCTTGCTGCTCTTCATGCTCATGGGGAGCTCAAATGCTGCCAGTTGTACAGAACAGAAAGTTGATGGAACTGTGTGTGCTTTGTGTGCTGAGTACTTTGGGAGCTACGTAATCTTTCACAAAGATAAAGACCTCCCCTCAGACCACATTTAAATGCAGCCATTAAGTATAGAATAAAATCACCCTATTGCTTCTTGGCCTTCTGGCTAAGATCAGATGTAGAATAAAATCACTTTATTCACATAGAGGAAACTGTTCCCCAAATAATGTTTTTTTTTTTTTTAATTAACTTTCCCTTTATTTGACAAGCACAGAGAGAAAGCACACTTCCATTGCTTGTCCACTCTCTGAATGTCCACAACAGCCAGGGCTGGGCCAGGCAGAAGGCACAGGGGTCTAAATCTTAATCTGGGTCTCCTACTTTTATGACAGGAGCCATCCCCTGCTGCCTGTGTTAGCAAAAACTGGACCAGAGTGGAATAGCAGGACTCAAACCAGGTCCTCCTATATGGGATAATGGTGTCCCAAGCAAATGGCAGCTTATTTGCTGTGACAAATGCCCAGCCCAGTAACATTTTGTAACTGGACTAGGATAGATACAAGTAATGATCACCCTTACGTGTTTGTAGAGTTTGTTCTTGAAGGCTCTGCTTTGTGTTGCCATTCACACACGATCTGCAGAGCACGCGCCACCACACCTGCTGTTCTCCTACAGTGGTGGATTCTGCCAGGTCCCAGGCAATCTTGGGAAGTTTTAAATTCCCTGCCTTCACCTGGGAGAAAGAAAGGAGAATGGGAACGTGGCCCAGGGCATTCCTTATTTACAGAAATCCTGGGGAAACGATGCACTGTCTTCAATAAGAATGGCATCGTCAGTCCCAAAGGGACTAATACCATATTTTCTCCCTGATCTGTGACAACTAACAAAGCACATAAAAGGAAACCTGTAGAAGTAAAACTGACATGACAAGAAGCAAGGACTTCAGCAGCCCTTGTCTTAAGTGTCGAGGAAGAGTTTAGTATTTTTTTTTTATGATTTTCTTTTTCAACATAATACCATTGGTTGAACTATTTACTTAGCACAGAATTATTCATACGTGTGTAAATCCAATTGAAAATAGATCCTGGGAAAAAATAAAAGTGAAAACAACAGAGGGGAGAGATGCACAGTTTGGCACATGTTCCCACGGACTTACCCCTAAGGGTAAAGTTAAAACTTGCATTGGACTCCCAATCCCATTAAGCTGAGTGAAACTAATGCTATCTTACATGCTAAAGTGATCATTTTAAGTGTGTAACTGCTCATATAGATAGGAATAACTGCCCAAGTGACCACATAAATAAGACCAAGTGTCTGGTAATAACAATAGATAGAAATAAAAAGAGTATTCCAACATGGGAAGCTGGCCATACAGCAGACTCATAGAATGACAAATGCCCTAAACAGCACTCTGACCTCCGAATCAGCCCTGAAGGCATTTGGATCTGGCTATAATGCCCAAGAGAGTTTCACAGGCATGGAAAGCCAAGACACTGTAGCAAAAAATGATCTACATGAAGGATCTCTGTGAGATCCCAGTGGAAAAAGCGACCACCCGAGAAGGTGGTACTTTTCTCTGAAGGGAGGAGAGAACTTTCACTTTGGTTATGGCCCTGTACAAATACTGATGGAGTTTGTGGACTCAAAAGGCTTCAATAGCCTTGGCAGCTCATAACAAGAGCTGCCAGTGATCACTGACATAAGTAAGACTGTCAATTGGTAAATCAACAACAGGAGTCACTGTGCACTTACTCCTTATGTAGGGCCTCTGTCCTTAAAGAGTTGTACTGTGAGAATTAATGGTAAATCTTGTCTTCAAACAGTACTTTATGCTTTGTGTGTCAGTGTGGGTTCAAACTGTTGAACTTTCCTTAGTATAGAGTTGGTCTTCTGTATATAAAGACCATTAAATATGAATCTTAATGAAGAATGGGATGGGGAGGGAGTGGTGTGGGAGGGTGGGTATGGGGGTAAGAACTGCTATAATCCAGAAGTTGTACTTACTAAATTTTTATTTATGAAATAAAAGCTTTCTTTAAAAAAAAGAATGGCATCGCAGTGAGGGGAAAGGGAAAATCACTGCCACTATAAGGCTCACTGTGCACTGCTAGGAATTCTGACATGTGCATTTTTAAAATCATCATAAAAAATTTCAGACTGTAGAAATGGCTCTGCAATACTTACTGTGCAGCAGCTACTTTATTAGAGTGGCAGCAGTTGTGAAGGTGGCTAAGACACAGTCCCTGCATGAGTTTAGAGTCCAGAAGAGGGGACAGGATCAGGGCTGTGGAGAGGGACAAAGAAAGGCAGAGGAGAGGGGATCTCTGTCCTAGGTCCTAACCTGAGGGCTGCAGGGTCAGGGCTCACTGGGTGGTTGTAGTGAGAGACATTTTTGAAAGGGGCAGAGATGTTATTTGAACGTTGGGTCAGATTTCAGTGAGCAGAAGGATGGAGTGATTCCAGGTCCATGCTATTCACAGTTATTTATGTTTCTGACAGGCAGACGAGGAAGACTTCATTCCAGGTGCACTGAGGTTGTCTTAACACAAGCAGAGGACCACAGATCATGTTTTAGGAAAAACATCTCGCTTTGAGTTGAATATTCTCATTTAGCCATGTTTTCAGTCAATGTGATAATTATTTAAGTGTTTGAAGTGGTCTTATTATCACTCT